GTTGCCTACCTCTGGCCTAGGCCTAGGCCGCTTTATGACTCCTGGACTTCAACTCCCAGAGTTTCTTAAGTGAATCACTGCAGTTGATAAGTTAGTAACATGGTTGTTAAGTGAATCTAGCTTCTCCCCCATTGACTTTGCTTGTCGGAAAGTCGCAAAAGGGGATCACGTGACCCCTTGAGACTCTGCGACCGTCATAAGTTGAGTCAGTTGCCAAGCGTCTGAATGTTGATCTCGTGACCCTGGGGATGCTGCAACGGTTGTAAGTGTGAGAAACGGTCATAAGTCTCTTTTTTCAGTGCTGTTGTAACTCTGAATGGACACTAAATGAACGGTTGTAAATCGAGAATTACCTGTAATTCCCAAGGAGAAAGACACTGTCATTCTAATTTGAGGCCTTGTGGATTAGCGGTCAGGATCCCTGGCCTTTCAGTCTGGAGTAACCGTTCCTACTCTCTGTTCCGTCCTAGATGTGGACGAGTGTTTGGACGAGTCAAACTGTGTGAATGGACGCTGCGAGAACACTCGGGGTAGCTTCCGCTGTGCCTGCCCGGCCTCAACCACGTACGATCCTGCCCAGAAGAAGTGCGTCCCAGCCAGCAAAACTGGTGAGCGGTGGCAGAGTTTTTTTAAGGTGGTGTTTCTCAACCTCAGACACTTTAAGATGGGTGGACTTCAACTCCCAGAATTCCCCAGTCAGTATTCCAGTATTCTTTCCCTTCCTCTTTTTCTCCTTCCTTCCTTCCTTCCTCCCTCCCTCCCTTCTTCTCTCTCCCTTTCTTTCTTTCTTTCTTTCTTCCTTCTTTCATCTCCTTCTCTCCCTCCCTTCTTTCCTTCTTTCTTTCCCTCCTTCCCTCACTCCCTTCCTCCCTTCCTTCCCTTCCTTCCTTTCTTCATCTCCTTCCCTCCCTCCCTCCCTTCTTTCCTTCCTTCCTTCCCTCCCTCCTTCCCTTTCTTCCTTCTTTCATCTCCTTCCTCCCTCCCTCCCTTCCTTCCTTCCCTTCCTTTCTTCTTTCATCTCCTTCCTTTCTCCCTCCCCTCCTTCCCTCCCTCCCTCCCTCCCTTTCTTCCTTCTTTCATCTCCTTCCTCCCTCCCTCCCTTCCTTCCTTCCCTTCCTTTCTTCTTTCATCTCCTTCCCTCCCTCCCTTTCTTCTTTCATCTCTTTCCTTCCTTCCCTCCCTCCCTTCCTTTCTCCCTTCTTTCATCTCCCTCCCTCCCTTTCTTCCTTCTTTCATCTCCTTCCCTTTCTCCCTTTTCTCTTCTTTCTCTTTCTCTTTTTCCAAAAGTTGGGTTGCTTACCAACCAAAGCCCCAGTCATCTCCTGGCCCAGAGTGTTCCCAGCTCTTGTCCTGTTGAATTTCTAGCCTGTCTCCTTCGTTTCCCCTCTCCCCACCTCACCCCCCACCGCAGACAAAGTGACCGATCGACGAGATGTCTGCTGGCAACTCCGGGGCGAGGACGGGATGTGTTCATCACCCTTTGGGGGCCAACAGTTGACGTACGAGGAGTGCTGCTGCCACCATGGCAAAGGGTGGGGCTACCACTGCCACGCCTGCCCGCCACGCAGCCCAGGTAACGGGGCATTCTGGGAAGACTGGCGTCCCGCCCTTCCTTCGGGCGCCAGCTCTGTTTTCTGGGCCTGCGAAGGAGTGGGAAATTCTCCCAGCGATGGGCTGATTAGAGAGACTGAAGTTCTAGCCAACTCTTTTCCCAAATTGGGGAGCTGAAGGCTCTGTAGAGCATGTGCAGAGTTCTCTTACCTTTCTTACACACTTGGAACTGGGGAAGATGCATTTGCGGAGGAGATGAAACTACAGCCTCCTTCTCTGTGCCTTAATGTGTGTTTGAGACCATTTGAGCCAGTTTGCTGTAATGATTAAGGCACCAGGCTAGGAACCAGGAGACGGTGAGTTCTAGTTCTGCCTTAGGCATGAAAGCCAGCTGGGTGACTTTGGGCCAATCACTAGGAGACGGTGAGTTCTAGTCCCGCCTTAGGCATGAAAGCCAGCTGGGTGACTTTGGGCCAATCACTAGGAGACGGTGAGTTCTAGTCCCGCCTTAGGCATGAAAGCCAGCTGGGTGACTTTGGCCAATCACCAGGAGACGGTGAGTTCTAGTCCCGCCTTAGGCATGAAAGCCAGCTGGGTGACTTTGGGCCAATCATTAGGAGATGGTGAGTTCTAGTCCCGCCTTAGCAATCCAAGCCAACTGGATGATTTTGGGTCAATCCCTCTCTTAGCTCAATCCACCTCACAGGGTTGTTGTGGTGGGAAAAATAGGAGGAGGAGGAAGGAGTTATAGGTATATTCAGCACCATAAAAATGGGATAAAAATAAATCTTGTGGATGCTCTTGCAAAAGGGCTCTTGTGCTTCTGGGCCCGCTTGGGGCCTCTGCCCGTTTCCGGAAGAGCGACGTCTGACGACAGGATGGTGACAATGAGGACTGTGGCCTTTCTCTCTTCCAGGTTTCAACTGCCAGTCTGCTCCAAGCGAAAGCAATTCCTTCTGGGACTTCAGTACCCCTTTCGGGGAGGTGCATAAAGGTGAGCCGAAGTGGGGAGCAGAGCCCTCCTGCGTCGATAACGTCACTGACTGCGGAACTCACTGCCACAAGATGGAGGGATACCCAAGAGCCTTGACTGGGCCTACCTCTGAAGAGCAGCTTGCAAACCACGCTGGGTTTTTTCTTCCAGGATCTTTGCCCTTTCCCTCCAGTGGCTGGGAAATATTGGGGAAAGAGCACCACTCAGGGATCCTCAAGGGATTTAATCATCTAGGAGGGCTCTGTGTGGCCTGAGCAAGTGTCTCTTCTGAGGTTCTAAACATGGCCTAACGGGGGGGCCTTCCCTGGAACTACTGGGATGGTAGCTGCACAGACACAGATGAGGGGCCAAAAGGAGTAGGAAGACGAAGGGGGAAATGTGTCTTTTGTTAGCAGGTGGCTCTTATGGGTATGTTAAGGCACGTAAGGTTGTCTGTCCATCTATCCACCCTCCCTCCCTCCCTTCCTCCTTCCCGCTTTTTCTTCCTTCCTTCCTTCCTTCCTTCCTTCCTTCCTTCCTTCCTTCCTTCCTTCCTTCCATCCATCCATCCATCCATCTCCCAATCCTACCTTCCTCCCTTCTTCTCTTCCTTCGATCTCTTAAACCTTCCTTCCTTCCATCCATCCATCCAGCTATCCATCTTTCAATCCTTCCTTTCTCCCCCTCCCTACCTTTTCTTCATTCTCCTTCCTTCCTTCCTTCCTTCCTTCCTTC